CTTACCCAGCAGCTCTGACCTAGAGAAGCTCATGCCAACACACACACACACGTGCACACACACACACACACACTCACTCACTAACATGGTTCTCACCTTGCCAACTTGCTTGAATGGGGGGCCCAGCAAATTTCTGAGAAGATGCAGATAGTCAATGTCTTCGGCTTCACAGGACACATGGTCTCTCACAGTGACTCAGCTCTTCCATGAGGGTGGCAGTCACCATATATATGAAAGGAAGAGGTGTGGCTGTCTCCCAACAAAACTTTACTTATGGAGACCAAAATTTGAACTTGATGCAAAACCACAGTGAGATGCACTTCACACCCCAGAATGAACATAGAGAGGCAAAGACTGCAGAATACCCTTGAGGTAGGACCCAGAACTGCTGGTGTCTGGGGAGTAGAGAAGAGACTAGTGGTTACCAGGGCTGGACAGGGAAGAGGAAGGGTAGTAGAGATCGTCAACAGGCACAAAGTCACAGTCAGGAGGAATGCGTTCTGGTGTTCTGTTGCATTCTAGAGTCACTAAAGCTAATCAGAATGTAATTTTTTAAAATCTAGAATATTTTGGATAATCTCAGCACAAAGAAATGATATATGTTTAAAGTGATGAATGTGTCAATTACTCTAAAATGATCACTACATATTATTGACAATAGGTGTATTTAAGTAATACAAAAAGTATCATTTTTTAAAAGAAAATAAAAATATTGCTGAGGATAGGAATGGAAAATGGTCCAGCCAGTGTGGAAAACAGTTTAGCAGTTCCTCAGAAAGTTAAACATAGAATTATCATATTACACAGCAACTCCACCCCATCTGTGTGCACCCCAAAGAATAGAAAACTGGGTCTCAAATAGATGCTTGTGCACCAATGTTCATAGCACATATTTAGTGCTGAGTTGCTGAGGCTAGCTTTATACTTGCAATCCTCCTGCCTCAGCCTCCTGAGCCACTGAGACAAAGAGAAATTTATATGTTCTTAACTGAAAAAGAAAAATGAATGACAAATAAATACACCGCAATCAAGGAAACTGGAATTAATTTTTTTAAAAGAGCTAAAATTTCAAGCATTAGTTTAGGAAAAATCTACCAAATTGATTATATTCAACAGTTGTTAGACCAGGGGTGAAATGGATATTCCTATATGGTAGGCACTAGAGTAAACTTACATAGACATTTTATTCAGCAATTTGGTACCAGTTATGAAAATTTAATCTGGATATACCTAAGGCCCAGCAATCACACCTCTTTTATCTATGTCACATTAAACAATCCCATGTTCTCAGAAAGCTATTTATAAGGTTTACTGCAGTATATTTGCAAGAGTGAAAAATTTCACTACATACAAGCAGCCATCAATAAAGAATAGCAAAATGAATAGGATATATTGGTATAAATTTTAAAAACAGGATACACCTGTGCATGATATAGCTCTTATACAGATATTGAAAAGATCTCCATTATTTCCCCCCACCATAGGGCATCAATGCATTCTACTGTCGTGTATAACTAATTAAAACAAATAAAAATTAATTTAAAAACCCTCCAATACACGAAGTTGAATGGGAAAGGCAAGTTGAAATATAATCCATATGGTATTATCAAGTTAATACTTACAGTATAATATTGTATCTTTCTATAAGTGCAAGGTGAAGAGCCTGAGTTTAGGATCAATGATTTTAAACATAACAGCCCCCATTGGTAACATGAGATTTTTTTCAATAGTACATACAATTATTAATATTATTTCATTGTTACAAGAGTTGGCTTAGGGATTATAAGGGAGAAAATACAGATGAGACTTTTGCCTAGAAAACTAAGATTGGCCAGGAAGCAATACAGAATTTGGTGTAACCTGGGGATGGGGACATTCAAACTTTCAGTGTAGGGATTTGTCATTATATTCCCCATGGCATAGTAATACACTTAACAATAAAGACTGCAAAGAATAAGATGTCTACAGGTATTTGAAAGAATAGTTTAATTTTTCAAGGCAATGAACCATTTTTCTTTCAATGTGATTATGCATCATAAATACAGAAAACACAATACTAAAATTTGTAACAAACAATAGTAGTATGGGGACCAGGTGGCTCTGCGAGAACTGCCTTCTCAGACTTTCCAGGTGTGAGTGTTGGGAATGCCAAATCTTGTCTCTGGTTTGGGGACATGGTGTTTTTGGTGGAAAGGAAATAGTAAGACACAAACTTACACAGACTCACCTTCTCCCTGCCCCGGAGGAGAGTCACATGTTGGGCTGTTTGACTTCTCCTGTGCCATCTACTGAAGCCCTGAGTTCTATATTTAATCATGAGCCTTGTTTTCATGTAAGTTATACAAGTAAGTCTAGTGATAGGCAATAAATAGATAAGTCTATTCATTCTAAACCAAGGTCCTAATGGGGCAAAAAGACCAGGAGAATGATCCTTCATGCCTGAGCTTCTAATACACAGTGTCCCACCTTCCTGTCTTGAAAGATGGAAGTCATGTCCAAGGAGATCTTCAGCATGATTATTATCCATACTAAGCAAATATTTGGAAACAAACCTCTGAGTTCTGAGAAATTCACCAGGGAACTGATAGGAAGAAGAAAGCAACCAGACTGTGATTTCTTCTCTGTGGTCAACTTCGTCACGAGTCATATTTAAACAGGAAGCACTCTGAACTCTAACCAGAACCAAACGGCCACCGTCACTAGGCTGGCTGGTCTCAGCACCATGAGGAGCAGATGTCTAAGACTGGTCCACGGTAAGTGGAATCGTGACCATGTGACAGGCAAGAAAGGGAGCTAGGAGCCACCAGCAAGTCCTTTGCTTCATTTTTGACTGGTTTTCTCACTGTCCCTGTAAAGGAGAGCAGGGAGGGTATTTTTAAAAGATATCAGCTCTTTTTTAAAAAATTAAGTTCTCAAAGGAGAAATTTATTCCTAGAAAGTTACTCTTAGGGAAAACTTTGGGACTTAGCAGGGATTTGTCATTATATTCCCCACTTGCAGCAGGATTCTCCAGATGAATAAGACCAATAGGGCACTATACAGAAAGAGGGAAGGATGATTTTTTTAAGGATATGCTCATGCAGTTGTAGAGGCTGAGAAGTGCAGACTATACTGGGTATGTGGCAGGAGGAGACCAGGGAAGAGGTTGAAGAATGGAAACTAGGAAAGAGGCACAGAATCCAGACTAGGAAGAGTTGGCAAAATGGAGACCAAGAAAAGGGGTCGAATGATGGAGACCCAGGGAAGAGGTGGCAAAATGTAAACCCAGAAAAGAGGTGGAAGGATGGAGACCCAAAATGAGATGACAGGATGGACCAGGAAAGAGGTGGCAAGATGGAGACCTAGAAAAGAGGTGGTAGGATGGAGACCAGGGAAGAGGTGGCAGTATACAGACCAGAGAAAAGGTGGCAGGATGGAAAGAAGAAGAGAGATGGCAGGATGAAGATCTAAGGAACAGGGGTCAGGATGGAGACACGGGGAAGAGGTGGCAAATTGGAGACCCAGAGAAGAGGTGGCAGGATGGAGACCAGGGAAGAGGTAGCAAAATAGAGGCCCAGAGAAGAGACAGACATGAGGAAGAGGCAGCAGAATGCAGACCCAGGGCAAATGTGAAAGAATCCAGGGAAGAGGTGGAAGAATGGAGACCCAAGAAAGAGGTGGTAGGATCCAGACCAACGACGAGGTGACAAGATGGAGACAGGGAAGAAGCGGCAGAATGAAGTCCCAGAGAAGAGGAACAGGTGGAAAACAGGGAAGAGGTGTAGGATGGAGAAAGAGACCCAGGGAAGATATGGCAAGATGAAGACTCAAGGAAGAAGCGTCAAGATGGAGACCAGGAAAGAGCTGTTAGACCAGGGAGGAGGTGGCAGGATGGAGACCAGGGAGGAGGTGGCAGGATGGAGACCAGGGAGGAGGTGGCAGGATGGGGACCAGGGAGGAGGTGGCAGGATGGAGACCAGGGAGGAGCTGATGTTCCATCTCAGGTCCAGAAGCAGTCTGGGCCAGAACTCCATCCTCCTCAGGGGGCCAGTCTTGGTCTCTTAGGGCCTCCATGGGTTAGATGAGCCCACACAGGAGAGGGGATCCTGCTTTCCTTGCAGTCTTCACATTCAGTGGTGTCTCCTCTGATGAAGGCCTCACGGCAATGTTTAGAGCCTGACCAGCTGTCCAGGCAGCGCATTAGATAAACTGACCAAGAAGGAACCACCAATACCCCTAGACTTTATTTTAGGGATTGAGAACCAGACTCTCCTTGACTCCTGGCCTGTCTCTCTGTCGAACAGCAACAGGCTCATGTACCTAAGGCCCCATTGATTGAGGAGAGTCCCCAGGATGTGCCCTGGAGGGGGCAGCTGCTCAGAGGCAGGAACAGCAGGAGGAGGCCCCCAGCCTGAGCCCAGCACCTGCCCACAGCACCTTCCTGTTGGGGGGGTAATAGGGCACCACGGGTCCCAGGACAGGCCATGAGGCTGACAGTGGTGGTGGCAGGTGTGGCTCTCAGGTGCTCCAACCACAGCTGCAGGCCAGGAGGCTAGTGTGGTGTGTGTCCCAGGAAGGGGACAGGGCCAGAGCACCTGGACAGGGCCAGGTAGGGGACCTGAGAGAACAGCTGGCCCAGACCCTCCCTTCCTACACCTAAAGGTCAGCGATGGTGGTAAACACCCTGAAACACTGGGGTTTGTTCCCACATGACCCTAGAACGTGGGTGTCATCTTGTACCCACTCCACAGAAAGGGAAACTGAGGCAGGGCAGTGAGACAGTCTGCCTGTGCTCCAGGGTCTGAACCAGGGCCACCAGACTCCAGTCCCCCACCCACAGGCCAGGAGAGCCACGGCTGGAGCCCAGAGCTTGCCAGGCTCAGCCCCCTTCCCATCCCCCATACCCTCCAGGAGGCGCCACCTGGGTCCCTTTGAGGAGTAAACCAGGTCCAAGCCCAGGAGGGTCCACAGCCCCTGCCCTCCAGTGCATCACCTCCAGCCTCCTCTGCCTGCTGGGCCCCATGACCCGCCCTCTCTGTGTCACAGGGCTGCTGTGTGTCCTGCTGAGTCTCTCCAGAGCCGGAGCCTGGGACTTTCAGCGTGAGTGTGGGGGAGCAGCATGTCCACAGCCAGAGCCTGGGAGGGGCCCTGCACCCGCAGCCCAGGGAGGAGAGGCCTGAGCAGGGAGTCTCAGGGCATCTCCCCACCTCCTGGGACCTCCTCTGGGACCACATTGCCCCCTCCCAGACTCTGACCAGTCTGTGCCCACACAGCCTGTAACCCCCGGTGCCCTCTCAACTCAGAATGTGTCAACGCCACTGCCTGTCGCTGCAAGCCGGGGTTTGCCTCTTCATCTACAGAGATCTTCACTGACCCCCTGGAGATCTGTGAAGGTAAAGAGGATGGGGGAGGGGCCGAGCCACATCAGAATTTGCAGGTGCCCAGTGCCAGTGGGGTCATGGGTAATGGTCAAGGGCTGAGCCTTTGACCTCAAGGCCATCATCAAAGACAGAAAAGAGAAAGGAAAGAGTAAGATGGCAGAGAGACCAGGGAATTGCACAGAGAGGACCTGGGCCCCAGGAGTTGGTCTCAGCCTGCCCTTAGGTCTGGGAGGGTGACACTGAGCTTGTAGCCCACACACTACCTTGGCATTGTCCCCTGGAGACAATGTCCAATTGTCCAATTGTCCCCTGGGAGTGTTAGTCAGAGGACTGTGTTGAGCAGATCAGACTGTGTGGACTTCAGCAATGGCTTGGCCCAGCATAGCCTCAGCAGTGCGTCCCAGGATTCTGTGCAAAAGATACTAACTCAACATCAGACCCCAAGCTGGGGGGTCAGGTAGGGGACAGGAGTCTCTTCCCTAAGAGACCACACACCTTTGGGAGGTGACCCTTGGTCCTATTATGTTGCAGACATCAACGAATGTTTGTTGCCCCATAAAGTGTCCTGTGGATATTTTGCTGACTGCCACAATGTGCAGGGGAGCTACTACTGCACGTGCTTCCCAGGATTTGAGCTTCTTTCTGGGGCAAAAACATTCAGTAATGCGAGTGAGAACACATATCAAGGTAAGGCCCACCCTGCCCCATGCAGTTCAGGGCACCTGAGCTGATCTGGGGACAACGCCCAGTTATACTCTCAGCACCTGGACTCTGAGATGGGGCAGCTGTGCGTGCACCTGTCACCAGTGTGAGAGGCGCCGGTGGGTCAGGACACTCTGGGACCAGCTGCTTGGCCCCATTCTGATAGCTCTGCTTGTGATGATGGCCAGGGTGCTTATCAGGAAACCCTGTGGACATGTGAGATGACACAACATCATTGTTGTTTTCTGTTTAAAAAAAAATGGGAGGCACCAGTGGCCTGTGCCTGTGACCTCAGTTAGTTGGGAGGCTGGGGCAGGAGGATCACTAGAGCCCAGGAGTCCAACTCAGCCTGGGAAACAGAGAGACCCCATCCCTAGCAGGGAAAAGTGGGAGAGAGAGAGAGAAAAGAAAAAGAAAACCACAGGAAGGAGCCCCTATCTTGTAAAGCTACAAACAAAGGTAGAGGCTGGGGTGTGCTTGCCTGGCATGAGCAGGGCTCTGGGCTCCCTCCCCAGCACTGCAGAAAAACAAATCCAAAACCAGAGGTAGCTTTGCTCTTGGTTCACTGTGTGACTTCAGTCAAGTCACCTCACCTCTCTGTGCTGCAGTGTGTCCATCTGCAGAAGGGGAGTCCTGGGACTGGGCCGAAGCTCAGTGGTAGAGCACTTGTCTAGCAGGTGTGAGTCCCTGGGTCAGTCCCCAGCACCAGGGGAAGAAAGGGGGAGAGGGGAGAGTCATAAGGAAGGAAATGAGATTCAAAGGCACTGAGCAGGTCCTGGCTCCCAGAAAGTGCTGTTAGCAATGGCTTCTGAGCTGAACAGGGCCTGGGCCCCATGAGTTGTGCTCACCTGCCCTTAGGTCTGGGGTGGAGGGGAGCTTCCAGCCCACGTGCACCTCAGCATTGTTCCCTGGGTCCAGATCCAGGGGTGTCAGCCAGAGAACTGGGACAGAGGTATCCTGTGGCATCCAGGGGCCAAGGCCCTGGTTGACACAGGTGGTGCCCACTCCAGGCCACTGTCCCAGCAGCACAGAGAGGGAGGGTGGTGTGACGGCCAAGGTCAGAGGCAGGGATCAGCTCCCTGGGTCCGAAGCCTGGAATGGCCACCCGTGAGCATCATGAGATCAGCAAAACCACTTCCTCTCTTGGAGCCCTCCTTGCATCTGCCCCTAGGAGCCTGGAGCCCCAGAGATCCCATGAGGTGGTGGCTCTCAGTGGCTCATTACTGGGGAACCCAGGGAGCTGGCGGGGGGAGGCTGAGCCCAGGATGTGGGGAAATGTGGGAGTTGGTGGAAGGTCCCCTGGGGGTGCTGCACCTCATTCCCAACTGTCCCCACAAGACCACACCCCACCTCCTCCCCTCCACCTATGCCACACCTCTGCAGCCATTGCTACCAGCTAGGAACAGGGGAGGGGACTGGGATCGCCCCGTGGGAGCTTGACAAGAGCTCTAAGGGTGCATCAGCCCCTGTCCTGACCCGTCCTGCTGTTGATCCACACAGCCCGGATGAGGGGTCCCAGCAGGGCATCCTCAGGTGCAAAAATGGGTCCAGGAGACCAGAAGCCCTCCCTGCCACATCCTGACCCCAGGAATCCTCTGGGCTCCGGGAATCTTTGGCCCCTTTCTGGGACACCCAGGGCCATCTGCCATGAGCTGTCACTCACTCCTGTCTTGGGTTCTCTGAGGCTGCTGTGTTGGCCATTCACCTCAGGCCTCTGTCCTGTGGGTCCCTGTGGCACTCAAAGGGGACCTGCTTCCTGAGCATGTTCCCCTCACGTTGAGAGACCAGGAGAGATAAGATGCCAGGAAACACCCCCAGGCCTCAGCTGGGAGCTGCTTCCAGAAGCTTCCTCATTTCCTGTCTGTGGCCATCTCTGATAAGGGGGAACCTCCTCCAGGGGTGGTGACAGCAAGGCTCCCCGGAGACAAGCTGGGCACCTTGGAAAGGCTGTCAGTGTCCACCCACAGTTCTGAGTGCCACACTAGGAGCTGGGGGATTCCTGGGGACGATCAAGGGTGCATTTGTGTCACTGTGAGGAAAGGCAGGTGGGACCTGCTGGGGCCTGGGCACCTGGGGCTTTTTGTTTTCTAGTTGTTTGTTTGTTTTGGTCCTGGGGACCTAACCCTGGGGCCTTACCACTAACCACATCCCTGGCCTCCTGAGTCACTGGGATTACAGCATGTGCCACCTCACCTGCTTGAGCACCTCACTTTAGTTCTTCTTGCTGCTGCTCAGTGGCAGGGTTTTAGAAATTTTAATAAAACCTATATACCATAAAACTTATCATTTTAACCACACTCCAGTATACTAGTTCTGTGGCACTGATCCTGTTACACAGGCATCTCAGTCATCCGTCTCCAGGAATATATTCCTGGTTTTTTTTGTATTTATTTAATTGACAAATAAAAATATTGTACATATTGATCAGGTACAGAAGGATGTTTTGAAACATGCATGCCCACTGGGAAGGCTAAAGGGAGCTGATTAACATATGCAATGCCTCAGGTGCTGATTTTTGTGGTAAGAACACTTCAAATCTAATCCCTTAGTGATTTTCAAGAATATAGAACATTGGCCAGACCCAGTGGTGCACACCTGGGATCCAGCAGCTCAGGAGGCTGAGACAGGAGGATCTTAAGTTCAAAGTCAGCCTTGGCACTTAGCAAGCAAGGCCCTTAGCAATTTGGTGAAACCCTGCCTCAAAGTAAAAATTAAGAGGGCTGGGGATGTGGCTCAGTAGTAGAGTGTTCAATCCCTGGTACCAAAAATAAATAAATATGAACAATAGATCTCTTGAACTTAGCTCCTCCTACCTGAAGTTTGTGCCTTGGATGCATATCTCTCCAACCCCCTCCTGTTGCCCAGACCCCTGGGAAACACCATGCTACCCTCTCCTTCCAGGAGTTTGACTGTTCAGGTCCCACGTGGAGGTGACACCGTGTGGTATTTGTCCTTCTGTTCCTGGCTTATTTCACTTAACATATGTCCTCCAGGTTCACCTGTGTTGTTGTGATTGAGAGTTTCCTCCCTTTTTAAGGCTGAAAAGCATCCCCTTGTGGGTGGGTTTTCTGCTTATTCACTCTCCTGTGGATGGATGGACTCCTCGGTTGACTCCAGAGCTTGGCTATTGGGAATAGTGCTGCAACATGAAGCATACTCGTCTCTCTACTGATAGATAGAGGTCAGATCAATATTCTGATCTGGTTTCCTTTGCGTGCAAACCGAGAAGAAGGATTTCTGGATCCCATGCAGTTCTACTTTTAATATCTGAGGACTGTCCCCACTGCCTTCCATCACAGCGGGGCTCACTTAAGTTCCCAGCCATGGTGTGCATATTGTCCTTTGCTCTGACTTCTGGCTACCCGTGTGCACATCCGGCTTCCCCAACAGCTACCCAGCTGGTGTGAGTTGATGTTTCACTACAGTTCATTTCTAGTCCCCTGAGGATTGGCGATGGCACGGGATTTCTCCTGGGCCTCTGGGCCCTTCTCCTGTTGTCCTTTGAGAAGTGTCTGTTCAGGTCATTTGCCCATTTGCGGATGGGGTGAGCGGGTTTCTTACTGTTGAGTTGCTTGATCAAGCTCCTCATGATACTTTGCATATTGACACCTAATAAGATGCGTGGCTTGTGAGTGTGCCTCCCGTTCCCTGAGTTGTCCCTCACTCTGTCCACTGTTTCCTTTGCTTTTCAAAAGCTGTTAGTTGGCTACGATCCCCTTGGTCCGTTTGTATTTTGCTGCCTGTGCCTTGGGTCCCGTCCAAACCATCACTGACAGGCCACCGTCACGCAGCTCTCCCCTGTGCTCTCCGCTAAGCAGCTGGGCAGCTCCAATCTGACCTTCACTATTTAATCTGAGGTGATTTTTATGTGGTGTGAGGGGAGGGTCTGATGTCCTCCTGGTTGGCATGTCCAGGGTCCCAGACCTTTTACTTAAGGGTCCTTCCCATTGTGGGCTCTTGGCACCTTTATCAACAATCAGCTGGAAATACGTAGGTTTTTCTGGGCTGTCTGTTCTGCTCTGTGGCTGTGTGTGTCTGTCCCCATACAGAACCACACTGTGTTGTCACTACAGCTTTCCAGTAGATTCTGAAGTCAAGTCATGGGATGTGCCCAGTTTTGCTCTGTTTCTGAGCACCTGGCTTTATCCTCAGGTGTTAATGATGAGTGTCACTCTGGGAAGCCCTTGGCCATGATCTCCTACCCCTCACTGCTTAGGCATAAAGAGTGGCCATCACTGCCACCTTCTCCCTGAGCGTAGACCACCTGTAGGACCCCAGTGGTGCAAAGATTCCCACAGGGGAGGGTCCAGGGAATGGCTGGGCCTCCCTCTGCCACTCCAGGATGGAGACGAGATGTAGATCCCTTGCCAGGCCCCACCGTGGCACAGAATCTGAACCCACATGTCCTTGGGCTCTGCTCCAGAGAGCAGAGTGGTCCTGGGACTTCCAGAGCAGCCCGGCCTCAGGAGGTCCACCTGGGGTCTTAGGTCTGTGTGTGTCTCACAGCAGGGTCAGGCTGAGAACCAGGGTCTCTTCCCTGAGAGAAAGCACAACTTTGGGAGGTGAGCCTTTGACCCGTTATGTTGCAGACATCACCAAATGAGGGCCATGAGAGTGCCCTGTGGAAAATCTGCAGTCGGCCAGATCATACAGGGCATAATTGCTGCATGCACAGCCCAGGCTGTGTGCTCATTTCTGGAGCCAAGAATCCTTTATTAATAAGAGGAGAACAGCTGCAAGGTAGGTCCTTCCCCCACCTCCCCATCATCAGGGTTGAGGTTGCCAGACCCTTTCCTGTGACATCTAGATGGCAGAACCCTGGTTACAGGAGTGTTGCCCTGGTGTGAGGCAGATGTGCATGTTCCTATTGCCCAGCACAGTAGCAGGGTAGCATGCATGCCAGGGACCAGCTCTGCATCTGGCTGCCTGGGTCTAAAAACTGCCTGTGCCACCTGTTAGCTGCATGTTATTAGTCAAATCACTACCTCTCTTTGAACTTGGTCTACCCATCTGTATCATGAAGGTGATCATTACAGTGCCTACCTCCTGTGTCTTCCAGGAGGATTATGAAAATTACAAGTGCCTGTAAGAGAGCCTGGAACATGGTGGGTGCTGGACTCTTCTTATGTGTTTAAAAGATGAGCACATCTGCACCCATTTAAGGAGTTGCCCAGAGGGTTTGGGTCTTCCTGGAGGCCATGTCCCTGCCACTCAGAAGAAAGCTAGTTCCACACAACTTGCTCTGGTCCTTGCCATGGTCTGGCCTGACAACGTGATTCCCAGGAGGAGTAACTTCCACGCATGAGCAGGATTCGCCTCCTTCCAGGGCAAGGTGGTTAGGCAAAGAAATCTGCTTCCAGCATCCATGGGGCCAGGTGGAATCCAGCAGTGGGTGGGCAGGAGCCAGGACCCATCCATGGAGAAGATGGTAGTGCCAGGTACACAGAGGGAAAAGGGAAGGTGCATGAATGTAAGAGGTACACAGGGCTAAACTGGGGATCAAGGGGATTATGAGGACACATGGTCCCTATGGGTGCACACTGTGCCATGTGTACATACCTTGGCCAAAGTATCCAGGGGGCTGTATGGAAAGACCAGGGTCCTGGGAAAGGAACAGGGGTTCTGAAGAGGCTGTGGAGGGACCTGGGAAGCAGCAAAAACTAACTGGGGTGACATGTTTCTGCAGCCTCACAACCTGCATCAGTACAGAGAAGGCATGGGGTGCATCAGGCCTCACACACTCCTCATCACACATGCAAGTGTGTAGGTCGCTAGGTGGCAGCACCACAGCCCAGGCAGGGCACTAATGGGGGAAAAGGGGGTGGAGCTCGGATGGTGGAGAACACTGGTCCTGGCTTCAGCGGGAACCTACCCCTCGGTCTATGTCCCCAGATGTGGACGAGTGCAGCTCCGGAGAGCATAAGTGCCACCACTCCACCACCTGCACCAATACCTGTGGGTGGTACTGGTGCTACTGCCTCCCAGGCTGGGAGCCGATTCCTGGGAGCATCAATGGCATGTACAACAACATCTGCAAAGGTACCCAGCCTGCCCTGACCCCAGAACCTCCTCCACCCCACACACACCAGCGCATGCACACACATGCCCACACACATGCTCCTCCTAATGAATCACTGTCCTGTCCCTGCAGTCAAGCCCTTCTTCACTTGGCCTCTGCCTCCTGGAGTCCACAGCCAGGTGAGCCACCCCAACCAGGACACGGAGATGGGAATCCCTGGTACAGCACCCTGTCCACCAAATGAGGGCCATGAGAGAAAGGAGCTGCCTATTCCACTATTTGGCCCTGAGAATCCCACCCACCTGTGACCCACTCATCTCACCTCCCAGAGTCTCTCCTGCTTCATTGACAAAGTCAACAATCTGCAAAAGCATTTAAAGTCAGCCATGGCCAAGGACACCATCCAGGTAAGGGCAGGATCCAGGGGAAGCTGGTGGAGACCTCCCATAGAGGAAGGGGGGCAGATTTGTTCTGGGTGGGGGGAAATAGGCCCAAGCACAGTGGGGTCCTGCTCTGAGCTGGCCAGTCTCTCAGGGCAGGTGGAAGAGGACACTGGGAGCCACAAAAACTGTTGGACGCCCAGGTGCACTGTCTATACTCTTGCTCTCATCCTGGTCTTTGGGTTTTGTCATCCTTGATGGTCACGAACCAGGGCTGACCTCTGAGGAGCAAGGACCACCCAGGGAGTCCCAAACCATGCTCTCTCTATCCCCAACTGGACAATGTCTGGGTCTGTTCTCTCGGCTGAGTGGTCAAGCTTTTCGTGTGGTCCTTCTGGCCCAAGTCCAACTGCTCTGTGCCCTTATCACTCCAGGGGATCATGCAGGAGGTGGATGAGCTGCTGGAGACCCCTGGGGACCTGGAGACCCTGCCCTCCTCACAGAAGCACTGTGTGGCCACTCACCTGCTGGCAGACCTGGCAAGTGCCCTGAGACACCTGAGCAGGGGTCTGCCTGAGGGGACAGCAACCTTCAATTATTCTGCAGGCACACGTAAGTCCCTGGGTCTGCGCCAGCCCCTGTTCCTTGCCTCATCCTCTTCTGATCCCACTAGAGCTGAGTGGCCACACTGTACCTCAGCATGACTCACATAAATAAACACAACAGTGAAAAAGGCAGAAAACCACAAATCGTACACATTTAAGTAGCAAAATAGAAACAGATTCAAAAAACTAATGTGGAAGAATACAAATGAATCTTTTTTTAAGTATGCTATGTTTAATTGTGGTAAAATTAACATCACATAAAATTCACTATTTAATACCAACACTTATCATTCACCAAAAAATAAATATGTGAATAAAATCCACCAGTTCTACATTTCAGTGGAATCAAGAACCTTCACAAACTGATGAAGCCATTACCATCATTTCTAAGACATTTTTCTCTAAAATTAAACACAGTGCCTCCTCAGCTTTCATTCCTCATTCCTCCCCTCCCCCAAACCTGGCATCCACTCACCTGCTTGCTGTCTTAAAGGAGCTGCCTATTCTACAACTTGGTGTAAAGCAAAGTGTGACCTGTCCCTCTAGCCTCTTTCACCTAGAATAATGCAGTTGAGCATGGCATAGCATCACTCCATCCCTCTTCACAGTTGAGTATTATTCCATCCTATAGGTGTTGAGTTGACCCACTCAGCCACTGATGAACATTTGGGTTGGTGCTACGTTTTGGCTGTTGTAAATAGTGCTGCAAAGATACTGTTATATAAGTGTTGTTTGAATAACTATTTGCAGTTCTTGGAGTACCTACCAAGAACTTGCTAGGTACCATGGTAATTCTGGGTTCAATTTTGGGGGGAACCACGAGACTGTTTGCAAAGTTGCTATATTACTGTATTTTACACCAGAGGGTGCAAAACCATGGAAAAAAGTGTTATTTCTGATTAATTTGGTTTTATCACAGCCATTCTAGTGAATGTGAGGAGATGTCTCATAGCCGGTTTGAGTTGCATCTCCCTGATGACTGGTGATGGTTAGCATCTTTTCATGTGCCTCTGGCCATTTGTGTATTTTTTTGGAGAAATGAATGTTCAGTTCCTTTGTGCATTTGTGATTGGGTTGGTCCTTTGAGTTGTATGAGCTTTTCATCTACTTTGACAGGAGACCATTATGATATATGCAACTTGGAAATGGTTTCTCCATCCTATGGATTATATTTTCATCTCTGTGATAATCGTTTCACTTTAAAGTCAGATGTTTTGAATTGTGAGGACATCTACTTTATCTACTTTCTCCTTCATTGCTGTACATTCAGTGTCATATATAAAAATCCATTGCCAAATCCAATGTCCTCTTATGGGCTTCAGTTCTTAGATTGAGGCCTTTGTTCTATTTTGAGTTAATCTGTGTGTGTGTGTGAGGTAGGGTCCCTCTTCCTTCTTTTTTCTTGGATATCCAGTAATCCCTCATCAATCATTGAAGAGACTGTTCTTATGCCCATTCAATAGTCTTGGTCCCCAGGCTGAAAAACCAATTGACTTCAGAGGTGTAGGTTTATTTCTGGGCTCACCTTTCCCTCTGTCTTCATGCCAGTACCACTCTGTTTTGAGCTCCTCTCATTGGCCTTCAGTTCTGAAATCAGGAAGTGTGAGTCCTCCCCCTTTGTTGCTCTTTTCAGCCACACTTTAACTACTTGGATCTCTTGCAATTCCGTGTTAGTTTTCAAGTGAGTTTTACATTTAAGCAAATTATAATGTTAATGGGCTGTTGGGACATTGATAGGATGACATTGACCCTGTAGATCTCTTTGGAGAATGTCTCCATCATACCAATATAATGTTTCCCAATCCATGAACATGAGGTGTTCATGTTAGGGTCTCCTTTCAAAACCCTCTCCAGTTCTCTAAGGGCAAGTCCTGAGTTTCTTAGTTAAATTGATTCATAATATTTTGTTACAGATTGTGTTCATAAGCAATAAAGTCTCTTATTTTCTTTTCTTGTGATGTATTTATCTGGTTTGGGCATCAGAGTAATATTGGCCTCCAGGAATTACCAGGTGGTGTCCCTCTTCTGTTATTTGAAAGAGTTTAAAAAGTTGTCATTCTTCCCTATATTGTTGGTGAATTTCACAATCAAAACCATTTGATTTCAGATGTTCATTTAGGAGGTTTTTCATTATTGCTTCAATCCCTTTACCCATGATAGGTCTCTTCAGATTTTCTACTTCTTCTAGAGTCACTTTTAATAGTTTCTGCATCCCTAAGAATTTGTCCATTTCATCTACGTTTTCTAATTTATTGGTGCAAAATTGCTCCTACTGTTACAATTCTTCATAACTTCATATTTCATATACAAATGTGTATGCACTCATGTACACACACAATATATATATATATACATATATATGAAATCTGAGGTTACAAAATATTATATACATATATATGTGTCTTTATATACACTTGAATATATGTGTGATTATAGTAAAGGAGAAGTTCAACAAATACATGTATATCATGAGACGTACATATACATATACAATATTCACATATACACATATATATTCCTAACATAATTCTTCTTATTCCTACACCTCATAGAACTGTCTGTAAAAGTGCAGAATCGAGGAGATGGCAATGTCACCTTGAGTCTGAATCAGGCAAAGATGCAGCTGAACTGGAATCTGGCACAGAAATCTGCTCACAGAGGTAACATCTGAGATGGGAAAAGGTGGGATGTCCATCTTTACACAAGTACCATACTGTTTGGAAGAGGCCGCAGGGTGGGAAAGATGCCCAAGGATGTGAAAAAATACAGAATTAAACACTAAAGGGTGATGTGGATGGGAAAAGGTCACTAGAAGAGCGTCCAAAGGGGCGGTTCTGGGGAGTGATGAGGCCACATTCTGTTGAGTGCACGTGTGAATGTGGAGCAGCAAGTCCCACTATTATGTATCATTATAATACAACAATTCAAAAGGAGGAGGGGCCATCTAAGGAGGAGGCCCTGGAGGAGACCCTGAGACTCACCCATGGCCTCGTCCTGCAGGCCCTTCTGTGGTGGGTTTGGTCTCCACCCCAGGGATGGACAAGCTACTGGCTGAGGCTCCCCTGGTCCTGGAGCCTGAGAAGCAGGTGGCTCCGCATTGGACATATGAGGACTTGCTGCCGAGAGTCTCACCTGTCCTGCTCTCAGATGTCATCTCAGTCTCTTTGAGCAACAAGGACACCCAGAACCTCAACTGGCCAGTTACGTTCACCTTCTCCCATCCTGTGAGTGTGCAGGTGTGGGGGGGACCATGGTGTGGGAAGAGCCCCAGATCCAGGCACACTCTTGTTGTCTGTCTTAAAATTGAGGTTCGGTGGGACTCCCTACAGGTGCCCCCCATCCAGGAAATTCAGCCCTTCCCAAGCCAGCCCTAAGGGGTCAGTATCTCCAGGCACAAAAAGACCAGCTCACACCTCTGTTCTGTTCCTACAGCTGGTGACCTCTGAGCCAAAGCAGGAATCTCTCTGTGTCCTTTGGGACCATGGCCAGAATGGATGTGGTCATTGGGCCACTGCAGGCTGCAAGACATTGGGCACCAGAGATGGCAGCACCACCTGCCGCTGTACCCACCTCAGCAGCCATGCAATCCTTAGGGCCAGCTACAACGTGCAGGTGAGAGGCTGCCTTCATCATTGACTGCTGCAAAACAGATTTATTCAAATGTCGCTGTTCAAATAAAACAAATTTGTTATCTCACAATTCTGTGGATCAGCAACCCAGCACACAGGGGATAGGTTCCTTGCACATGATCTCTCAAGGCTGAAATGATCACATTGGTCAGGACTGCAGTCTTACCTGGGACTCACGGCCCTTCTCCCATCTCCCTGGTTGCAGGAAGAATACAGTTCCCTTCCCTTAGCAGCTTTCAGCAGGGGACCACACTCCCTTTCTACGAGTCACCCACATTTCTTCTCATATGACCTCTTGTAGGCCTTCTTCACCAAGCCTCTGCCCCCTGAAGTCAACAGCAAGGTGAGCCACCCCAGCCAGGACAGGGAGGTGGGAATCATGGCATGGCCCAGCATCCACCCCTTGGCCCTGAGTTTCCCATCCACCCATGACCCCTCATGTCACCTCCCCAGAGTCTCTCCCACTTCTTTGACAAAGTCAACAATCTGCACAGAGATTTCAAGCCAGCTGTGGCCAAGGACATCATCCAGGTAAGGGCAGGATCCAGGGGAAACAGGGGGAGACCTCCCATAGAGGGAGGTGGGGAAGCTTTGGTCTTGGGGGAAGGGAGACAGGCCCCAGCACAGTGGGGTCCAACTCTGAGCTGGCCACCCTCCCAGGGCAATTAGAAGAGGACACAGGTAGCCACACACACTGTTGGACTCCCCCATGCACTATCTGTACTCTTGCTCTCATTCTGGTCTTTGGGTTTTGTCATCCTTGACAGTCACGAACCAGGGCTGACCTCTGATGAGCAAGGGCCACCCAAGGAGTCCCAAACCATGCTCTCTCTATCCCCAACTGGACAGTGTCTGGGTCTGCTCTCTAGGGCTGAGTGGTCAAGCTTTTCGTGTGGTCCTTCTGGCCCAAGTCCACCTGCTCTGTGCCCCCATCCCTCCAGGGGATCATGCAGGAGATGGACAAGCTGCTGGAGACCCCTGGGGACCTGGAGACCCTGCCCCCCTCACAGAAGCACTGTGTGGCCACTTACCTACTGACAGGCCTGGGGAGTGCCCTGAGAAACCTGAGCAGGGGTCTGCCTGAGGGGACATCAACCTTCAATTATTCTGCAGGCACACGTAAGTCCCTGGGTCTGCGCCAGCCCCTGTTCCTAGCCTCATCCTCTTCTGATCCCACTAGAGCTGAGTGGCCACACTGTACCTCAGCATGACTCCCATAAATAATCACAACAGTGCAAAAGGCAGAAAACCACAAATAGCTCACATTTAGGTAGCAAATAAAAACAGATTCAAAAAACTAATGTGGAAGAATACAAATGAATCTTTTTTAAGTATGCTTTGTTTCATTGTGGTAAAATTCACATAACATAAAATTCACCATTTAAGTTCATCACTTATCATTCACCAAAAAATAAAATACGTAAATAAAATTTACTTGTTCTACATTTCAGTGGAATCAAGGACATTCACAAATTGATGCAGCCATCACCTCCATTTCTAAGACATTTTTCTCCAATATTAAATATAGTGCGTCCTCAGCTTTCATCCCTAATTCCTCCCCTCCCCCAAACCTGGCATCCACTCACCTGCTTGCTGTCTTAAAGTAGCTGCCTATTCTACAACTTAGTGTAAAGCAAAGTGTGACCTGTTCCTCTAGCTTCTTTCACCTAGAATAATGCAGTTGAGCATGGCATAGCATCACTCCATCCCTCTTCACAATTGAGTATTATTCCATCCTATAGGTGTTGAGTTGACCCACTCAGCCACTGATGAACATTTGGGTTGGTTCCACCTTTTGGCTGTTGTAAATACTGCTGCAAAGATATTGATGTATAAGTGTTTGTTTGAATAATTATTTGCAGTTCTTGGAGTATCTACCAAAGAGTAGACTTGCTAGGTACCATGGTAATTCTGGGTTCAATTTTGGGGGGAACCACGAGACTGTTTGCAAAGTGGCTGTATTACTGTATATTATACCAGAGGGGTGCAAAGCCTTGGAAAAGAGTGTTACTTCTGATTAATTTGTTTTTATCACGTCTGTTCTAGTGCATGTGAGGCGATGTCTCATTGCCAGTCTGAGTTGCATCTCCCTGTTGACTGGTGATGGTTAGCATCTTTTCATGTGCCTCTGGCCATTTGTGTATCTTTTTGGAGAAATGTCTGTTCAGATCCTTTGTGCATTTGTGATTGGGTTGGTCCTTTGGTTCTTGAGTCATAAGAACTTTTCATCTATTTTGACAGTAGACCATTATAAGACGTGCAACTTGGAAATGCTTTCTCCATCCTATAGATTATATTTACACATCTGTGATAATCTTTTCACTTTAATGTCATATGTTTTCAATTTTGAGGAAGTCTACTTTATATACTTTCTCCTCCTTCATTGTTGTACAGTCAGTGTCATATCTAACAATCCATTGCCAAATCCAAGGTCCTCTTATGGGCTTCAGTACTTAGATTGAGGCCTTTCTTCTATTTTGAGTCAATCTGTGTGTGTGGTGTGAGGTAGGGGTCCCTATTCCTTCTTTTTCCTTGGATATCCAGTAATCCCTCATCAATCATTGAAGAGACTGTTCTTATGCCCATTCAATAGTCTTGGTCCCCTGGCTAAAAACCAATTGACTTCAGAGGTGTTGGTTTATGTCTGGGCTCACCTTTCCCTCTGTGTTCATGCCAGTACCACTCTGCTTTGGGCTCCTCTCATTGGCCATCAGTTCTGAAATCAGGAGTGTGAGTCCTCCCCCTTTGTTGCTCTTTTCAACCACACTTTAACTACTTGGAACTCTTACAATTCCGTGTTAGTTTTCAAGTGAGTTTTCCATTTAAGCAAATTATAATAATGGACTGTTGGGACATTGATAGGATGACATTGACCATGTAGATCTCTTTGGAGAATGTCTCAATCTTACCAATATAATGTTTCCCAATCCATGAACATGAGGTGTTCATGTTAGGGTCTCCTTTCAAAACCCTCTCCAGTTCTCTAAGGACAAGTCCTGAGTTTCTTAGTTAAATTGATTCCTAATATTTTGTTATAGATTGTGTTCATAAGCAATAAAGTCTCTTATTTTCTTTTCTTGTGATGTATTTATCTGGTTTGGGCATCAGAGTAATATTGGCCTCCAGGAATTACCAGGTGGTGTCCTCTCTTCTGTTATTTGAAAGAGTTTAAAAAGTTGTCATTCTTCCCTATATTGTTGGTTAATATCACAATCAAAACCATTTGATTTCAGATGTTCATTTAGGAGGTTTTTCATTATTGCTTCAATCCCTTTACCCGTGATAGTTCTCTTCAGATTTTCTACTTCTTCTTGAGTCAGTTTTAGTAGTTTCTGCATCCCTAAGAATTTGTCCATTTCATCTAAGTTTTCTAATTTGTTGGTGCAAAATTGCTCCTACTGTTATAATTCTTCATAACTTCATATTTCATATACATGTGTGTATGTACTTACATGTATACACAACACATATATATATATGAAATCTGAGGTTACAAAATATTATATACATATATATGTGTCTTTATATACACTTGAATATATGTGTGATTATAGTACATGGGAAGTTAAACAAATACGTGTATATCATGTGACATATGTGTACATATATTATATTCACTTACACATATATATTCCTAACATAACTCTTCTTATTCCTATAACTCATAGAACTGTCCGTAAAAGTGCAGGAGCAAGGAGATGGTAATGTCACCTTGAGTCTGAATCAGGCAAAGATGCAGCTGAACTGGAATCTGGCACAGGAATCTGGTCACAGAGGTAATATCTGGGATAGGGAGAAGGTGGATGTCCACCTTACACCAGTACCATACTGTTTGGAAGAGGCATCAGGGTGGGAAAAGATACCCAAAGATGTGAAAAAATACAGAATTAAAGACTAAAGGGTAATGTGGGTGGGAAGAGGTCACTAGAAGAGTGTCCAAAGGGGAGGTTCTGGGGAGTGATGAGGCCACATTCTGTTGTGTGCACGTGTGAATGTGGAGCAGCAAGTCCCACTATTATGTATCATTATAATACAACAATTCAAAAGGAGGAGAGGCCATCTAAGGAGGAGGCCCTGGCGGAGACCCTGAGACTCACCCATGGCCTTGTCCTGCAGGCCCTTCTGTGGTGGGCTTGGTCTCCACCCCAGGGATGGACAAGCTACTGGCTGAGGCTCCCCTGGTCCTGGAGCCTGAGAAGCAGGTGGCTCCCCATGGGACATATGAGGACTTGCTGCCGAGAGTCTCACCTGTCCTGCTCTCAGATGTCATCTCAGTCTTTTTGAGCAGCAACAACACCCAGAACCTCAGCTCGCCAGTTACCTTCACCTTCTCCCATGCTGTGAGTGTGGGGTGGGGGGGACCATGGTGTGGGAAGGTCCCCAGGCCCAGGCACATCCTTGTTGTCTGTCTTAAACTTGAGGTTCAGAGGGACTCCCCCAGGTGCCCCCCATCCAGGAAATTCAGCCCTTCCAAAGCAGCACTAAGGGGTCAGTATCTCCAAGTACAAAAAGACCAGCTCACATCTCTGTTCTGTTCCTATAGCTGGTGACCTCTGAGCCAAAGCGTGAAGTTCTCTGTGTCTTTTGGGACCATGGCCAGAATGGATGTGGTCATTGGGCCACTGCAGGCTGCAAAACATTGGGCACCAGAGATGGCAGTACCACCTGCCATTGTACCCACCTCAGCAGCCATGCAATCCTCATGGCCAGCTATGATGTGCAGGTGAGAGGCTGCCTTCTGCATGGATTGCTACAAAACAGATTTATGCAAATGTCACTGCTCAAGTAAAACAAATTTGTTATCTCACATTTCTGTGGGTCAGCATCCCAGTGCAGGGGGGGGATAGGTTCCTTGCACATGATCTCTCAAGGCTGAAATGATCGCATTGACCAGGGCTGCAGATTCACCTGGGACTCATGGCCCTCCTCCCAGCTCCCTGGTTGCAGGAAGAATACAGTTCCCTTCCCTTAGCAGCTTTCAGCAGGGGACCACACTCCCTTCCTAAAAGCCACCCACATTTCTTCTCATATGACCTCTTGTAGGCCTTCTTCACCAGGCCTCTGCCCCCTGAAGTCAAAAGCAAGGTGAGCACCCCAGCCAGGACAAGGAGGTGGGAATCCCTGGGGCAGCACCCTGTCAACCCCTTTACATTGAGCTTCCCACCCACCCATGACCTCTCCCCTTCTCACCTCCCCAGAGTCTCTCCCATTTCTTTGACAAAGTTAACAATCTGCACAGGGATTTCAAGCCAGTTGTGGCCAACGACACCATCCAGGTAAGGGCAGGATGCAGGGAAGCAGGTGGAAACCTCCCACAGAAGGAGGGGGGCATCGTTGGTCTGGGAGAAGGGGAACAGGCCCAAGCACAGTGAAATCCTGTTCTGAGCTGGCCACTCTCCCAGGGCAGGTGGAAAAGGACACTGGGATCCACACACACTGTTGGATGCCCATGGGCACTGTCAGTCCTCTTGCTCTCATCCTGGTCTTTGTCATTCTTGACAGTCACGAACCAGGGCTGACCTCTGATGAGTAAGGTCCACCTAGGGAGTCTCAAACCATGCTCACTATCCCCAACTGGACAGTATCTGGTCTGCTCTCTGGAGCTGAGTTGTCAAGCTCTTTGTGTGGTGCTTCTGGTCCTTGTCCACCTGCTCTGTGCCCTTATCCCTCCAGGGGATCATGCAGGAGGTGGATGAGCTGCTGGAGACCCCTGGGGACCTGGAGACCCTGCCTCCCTCACAGAAGCACAATGTGGCCACTCACCTGCTGACAGGTCTGGAGAGTACCCTGACTCACCTGAGCAGGGGTCTGCCTGAGGGGACATCAACCTTCAATTATTCTGCAGGCACACGTAAGTCCCTGGGTCTGCGCCAGCCCCTGTTCCTTGCCTCATCCTCTTCTGATCCCACTAGAGCTGAGTGGCCACACTGTACCTCAACGTAACTCACATAAATAATCACAACAGTGAAAAAGACAGAAAACCAAAAATAGTACACATGTAGGTAGCAAAATAGAAATAGATTCAGAAAACTAATGTGGAAGAATACAAATGAATCTTTTTTAAGTATGCTTTGTTTCATTGTGGTAAAATTCACATAACATAAAATTCACCATTTAAGTTCACCATTTATCATTCACCAAAAAATAAAATATATAAATAAAATCCACCAGTTCGACATTTCAAGAACATTCACACCTGCCGTTGGAATCAAGAACATTCACAAACTGATGCAGCCATCACCTTCATTTCTAAGACATTTTTCTCCAAAATCAAACACAGTGCCTCCTCGGCTTTCATCCCTCATTCCTCCCCCCCACCCCAACCCTGGCATCCACTCACCTGCTTGCTGTCTTAATGGAGCTGCCTATTCCACCATTTAGTAAAAAGCAATCATACAAAGTGTGACCTGTCCCTCTAGCTTCTTTCACCTAGAATAATGCTTTTGTAATCAGAGTTTAGAAAGAATTCATGTTCATTCTTCCCTATATGGTTAGTGAAATTCAGCCATATGAATTTGGTGAAAATCTGATCTCTCATGTTCATGTAGGAGGTTTTTCACTATTGATTCAATCTCTTTACCCATTATAGGTCTCTTCAAGTTTTCCACTTCTTCTTGAGTCAGTTTTGATAGTTTCTGTGACCCTCAGAATGTGTCCATTTCATCTCAGTTATCTAATATGTTGGTGCACAATTGCTCCTATGGTTAAAATTCTTCACAACTTCAGATTTCATACAATGTATGTATACACACATATGTATATACAACACACACATATATATACACATATATATTTAAAATCTGAAATTACAAAGGATTATATACATATATGTATGTGTACACTTATGTATCTATATATACACATACATATACATGTGTGTGGTTATAGTGAATTGGAAGTTACACATAGGTCCTTGATATATGTGATATACACATGTAGATATTCAATATCCACTATACACATATATATTCCTAACATAACTCTTCTTCTTCCCATGACTCATAGAACTGTCCCTAGAGGTACAGAAACACGGAGTTTGCAATGTCACCTTGAGTCTGAATCAGGCAAAGATGCAGCTGAACTGGAATCTGGCACAGGAATCTTATTACACAGGTAACATCTGAGATGGGGAGAAGGTGGATGTCCACCTTACACCAGTACCATACTGTTTGGAAGAGGTTTCAGGGTGGGAAAAGATACCCAAGGATGTGAAAAAATACAGAATTAAAGACTAAAGGGTGATGTGGGTGGGAAGAGGTCACTAGAAGAGCGTCCAAAGGGGAGGTTTTGGGGAGTGATGAGGCCACATTCTGTTGAGTGCACGTGTGAATGTGGAGCAGCAAGTCCCACTATTATGTATCATTATAATACAACAATTCAAAAGGAGCAGAGGCCATCTAAGGAGGAGGCCCTGGCGGAGACCCTGAGACTCACCCATGGCCTCGTCCTGCAGGCCCTTCTGTGGTGGGCTTGGTCTCCACCCCAGGGATGGCCAAGCTGCTGGACGAGGCTCCCCTGGTCCTGGAGCCTGAGAAGCAGGTGGCTCCCCAAGGGACACACAAGGACTTGCTGCCAACAGTCTCGTCTGTCCTGCTCTCAGATGTGATCTCAGCCTTTTTGAGCAGCAACAACACCCAGAACCTCAGCTCATCAGTTACCTTCACCTTCTCCCATCCTGTGAGTGGGGGGTGGGGAGACCATGGTGTGGGAAGAGCCCCAGGCCCAGGCACACCCTCGTTGTCCTCTTAACCTTGAGGTTCAGGGGGACTCCCCACAGGTGCACCCCACACAGGAAAGCCAACCCTTCCTGGGTCAGCATCTCTGAGCGCAGGAAGACCAGCTCACACCCCTGTCCTGTTACTACAGCCAGTGACCCTTGCACCAAGGCACAAGGTGCTCTGTGTCTTCTGGGACCACAGCCAGAATGGGAGTCACTGGACCACTGCAGGCTGCAGGACAGTGAGCACCGGAGGTGGCAGCACCACCTGCCACTGTACCCACCTCAGCAGCTTTGCAGTCCTCATGGTCCACTACCATGTGCAGGTGAGAGGCTGCCTTCAGCATTGATTGCTGCAAAACACACTTATGCAAATGTCGCTGCTGAAGTAAAACAAATTTGTTCCCTTGCGGTTTCTGTGGGTCAGCAACCCAGCACAGGGGGATGAGTTCCTTGTACAGGTTCTAAAAGACTGACAAGATCATATCATTCAGGGCCGCAGTCTCTTCTGTGTCTTGCAGCCCTCCTCCAGCTCCCTGGTTGCAGGCAGAGTTCAGTTCCCTTCTCTTAGCAGCTGTCAGGGGGGACCACACTCAGTTCCTAAGAGCCACCCACATTTCCTCTCCTATGACCCCTGGTTGGCCTTCTCACAAAATGCTCCTATCTGAAAACCAGCATGAAAATGTCCCTTATATAGAATCCCTCTCAAGTTTTGAATCTGTTTTCCCAGGAAGAACCAGATATTTAAAGCAATTGCTTGATTACACCAGATCAGGAGAATAAACTCCCTAATCTAAAAGTCAACAGATCGAGTCCTAAATTCCACCTGCAAAATCCCTCTACAGCAACACCTAGTCTATCAGAGAATTTAATAATTAGGAGAAGGTTTGTGTAACAGCAGGGGTGGACATATGAAGACCAAGTTAGAATTCTACTTACCACCAGGGTCTGTAAGTCAACCATGGTCGGGTTCCAGGTTTACAAAAAAGGAAGGTCTGGTGAAGGTGGAGGTCAGAGGGGGTCAGGGGAGTCAGAGAGGATGGCTGGACTGGGGGCTGTTTACCTCCTCCTCCTATATCCAAATGAGTGGACACTTCTGCTTCCCCAGATTCAGACTCTTAGGTGAGCTCACATTATGGGTATTTACTGTGAACACCCTGTGACTATGAGCATGACAAAGGTCTCAGCCAAGAGCTTTTTATATATTATAGAAATTAGATTTTATCTTTACATCAGATGATCTCAAAATTCAGCACATGTTAATATCACTTGGAGGACCGTTTATTTTTAAGTGCTTTCTTAGGAAACAATTTCAATTTTTTGATACATTTCAAGAACAAAAAATAGAAGAAATAGATCAGATACTTGGTTAAAGGAAGAAAAATTAATGATGATAGTAACTTAAAATTTACACTTTCCCACCTATTTCTCCAAGTCCTCTTAAAACCATGAGGAAATGAAAAGAGAACACACCACACCATTACTCTTTACCCAGAGGCATCATTTTGAAAGTTTTGCCTCTGTTTCATTTATCAGGTGTCATTCTTTCCCTCTGGTCCTCCCCTGTCCTGCCTCCTAATTTCCCAATTTTGTATTTACATCAGGGTCTTAAATGTAGCATGCACAAATGTCACCTGCAGGGTTTGTACTTTGTTTTCAAACATTTTCTTGGGAAACCATTTCAAATTTACAGATATGTTGCAAAAACAAAATCCCACAAACAACACCTGTGTGCACGTGATTCAGATGCGCCTGCTTTGAAATTTTACCATTGAACATTTCCATTTGAACATTTCCCCTCCCTCTTTCCTCTTCTCTCCTCTTCCCCTCAATTACACTGAAATAGATGGTGGGCTTTTAAATATCCTCATGGCTTTAAGATGACTTTCAGAAAGAAATGGGGGAAAGGTGAACTTTAAGCTACTGTTATCATTAATTTTATTTTTAACCAAGTATCTAATTCTAACTACACAGGGATTTGTGGTCAGTAAGGAACAGGCAGAGCTGGATTGAGGCCAGTGATGTCTGGGATGGGAGGTTAATGCCTGGACACTGAGGTGCAGGTTCTGCCCTGTGGCCTTGTGGGACAGGGACAGAGGGACACTCAGCAAGGGATTCACACACACTTACATAACAACATGCCGCCTTACTGTGCCCCAAAGTCAGGAATCCCAGTCTCCTCCTTGACTAAGGACTCTACACATCTGGGTTCTTCTAGCCACTTACCTGCTCCATTCAGAAAACCTAACAGTCCAACCTTCTGAACCTGGAGCCCCATCAGCTTCACACCTGGACCCAGTCCCTCCATTCCTGAATCTGCTGCACCAAATAACAGATAGCGGAGGGGTTCCTACCCCAGAGAAGGGCACGTGGCTGTGAAGGCTCCTCCCTCTGCCCCAGGACAAGGACCCTGTGCTGGACTTCATCACCTGCGTGGGGCTGGGCGTGTCGCTGCTGTGCCTGGTCCTGGCGGCCCTCACCTTCCTCCTGTGCAGAGCCATCCAGAACACCAGCACCTCCCTGCACCTGCAGCTCTCGCTCTGCCTCCTGCTGGCCCACCTGCTCTTCCTCACGGCCATCGACAGAACCCAGCACAAGGTACCCAGGTGTCCCTGCCCCACCCGCCCAGGGGTGCTGAACTCAGGAGCCAGGCTGCCCCGGCTCCTAATCAAACAGCCTGGGCCCCAGGGAAGTCCAGAGGTGGTCAAATGCCCATTTCACGTTGACGGATTCAACGAGAAAACGAATCCTCTTTACAACTCCATCACCTACATCTCTTGTTGCTTAGCAACAGGGCTTGCATCCTGGGGAAGTTCCTTCATTAGGGGACCCTTAGGATGAACTGACGCAAACTCTAGATGGCATCCGTCAATCACTGGACGTGGCCTCCTGATTCACTCAGGAGACACGAAGGAGGCGACGGGGCTGGCGTCACGCGGCACCCCGTTTCACAGCAGACATTTTTTACCAGGAGAAAAAAGAGGTTCTACTGAATTTTTAATTTGGTTAATCAAGTCCTTCGTTTTCAGAATTTCTATTTGGTTCATTTTTAGAATCTGTCTTTAGTGAAATTTTCTTCCACTTCCTGTATCTTCTCCAAATTCATTCCTTACATATTCTTTAAGCTCTTTCAACATTTTAACTAGGGGCTTTCTAAATTCTTCTCCAACATTTCCTCTGCTGTCGTGCCTACAGAGTTGGTTGTTGCAGTGCTGTGGGCTGTGTGGTTTGCTCCCTTGCTCTTTCCTGCTGCTTGTAGGTCTGCCCACCTTCTGGGTTGATTATCTTCTCTGCTTTGATGCACTCTTCTGTCTCTTAAGAGCCTGGGGATGGGTGAATATCCAGCTACTGACACTGTCATTCAATGTGTATCCTCAGCTGTTCCCAGGATCAACACAATTTCTAGAAGATACTAAACCCTGTGAACTACAGTCATTTCTAAAATAATGTTAAAATCATAGTGCAGTAAATGCATAAGACGTCACATGACCATTGGTTGCCATTTGTAAGTATTAGGTCCTGTGGGTCATTGTGTGGCCCTGCTGTTCTGTAACCAGCAGCACAGTGGGTTTGTCTACAAGATCATCAGGGATGGAATGCCACAGGGCAGCCCTGGGAGGTTGTGATGTCACCACTACTGCATGAGGAACTCTGCAGGGCAGCACTGGGACGCTGTGACGTCACTGGGCAGCAGGCCCTTTCCAGCTCTGCTGTGATCTATGGGAGCACACACGCAGCCCATGGCTGAAGCAACACAGTGCAGCGCCTGGTGCACAGCAGATTCCCCCGCCACAGGGCGCAGGGGGCATCCAGGGCCACACCCAGACCCTGACTGTGCCCTGGGGTCTCTCTCCTCCCCAGGTGCTGTGCGCAGTCATTGCAGGCGCCCTGCACTACCTCTACCTGGCCTCCTTCACCTGGATGCTGCTGGAGGGGCTGTTCCTCTTCCTCACAGCGCGGAACCTGACCGTACTCAGTTACTCCAGCAGAAACAGGCTCATGAGGAGGCTCATGTTCCCTGTGGGCTACGGGGTCCCGGCCACCATCGTGGCCATGTCTGCAGCAGCCAGACCTCACCTGTATGGCACCCCTGCTCGGTAAATGCGGACCCCACTTGTCCTTCTCCTCTTGAGCATGTCCACGGCCATCACTTGAACCAAAGTAGCATTTTGAGTATTTCAGAGCTTAAACAGAGAGTGTACTATAACATATCACACATACAGGGAGTCTGACTTCCCGTCCTTGTGGTTGGGCATGTGTGGAGTGACACTGGTCATGGAGTCCTACATGAACACAGCAAAGTGATGTTGTTCTCTCTCTTGCTCAGCTGCTGGCTCAACCCCAAAAACGGGTTTGTGTGGGGCTTCCTTGGACCTGCCTGTGCCATCTCTTGTGTGAGTGATGTCATCAGAGTTCCTTGCTGTCCACATGAGGGTAGCTAGAAGAGCAGGATATTAAGGATGGTGATAGAACAGGATTATCCCTGTATTGTTATGGGTTGTGTTGGGTTTTCCAAGACTTCTACATCTACAAATTCTAACCCTACTGTCAAATACTAAAAGCCACTCAGGTGTAGAATAGATGCTGCAAGGGCTAGAATGGAGAGATAACAGATTTAAATTTTTATTCAATAAAAATTTGCCATGGGGTATGGGGGTGTAGCTCAAGGGCAGAGAGCTTGCCTGGTATGCACTAGGGTCTGGGTTCCCTCCCCAGAACTGCAAAAGAGAAAATAAAATATTAATAAACATTCTGCAGTTTCTTTTTTTTTTGGGGGGGGCGGTTCTTTTAGTTATACGTGATGGTAGAATCCATCTGATATAATTACACAAGCATGGAATATACCTTATCTAGTTAGGAGCCCATTCTCGTGAATGTACATGATGGTTGGATTCACGGTGATATTGTCATATATGTACACAGGAAAATTATGTCAGATTCATGCTGCTGTCTTTCTATTGCTTCTGTGGTTTCTTGAAGGTCAATATGGTTTTCTTCCTGATGACCCTCTGTATTGTGAAGAGCAAGCTGTCCTCCATCAACAGAGATGTGTCCACCCTCCAGAACACGAGGTGAGATGGACCAGGGGACATAGATGCCAATGATGCCCAAGAGTAGAGCCATGTGCCTCCTCTGGGGCTTCTGAGTGGCCCACAATTAACAAATGTGGCTGTGCTTCCATGGCTGCCGTCTCAGACTCAGGGCTCTGCTGCTTACTCCAGTTCAATCCTCCAGGGGGCGGGATTATTCCTTCACTCAGCATCTTGTATAAAATTCACGCTCTTTCTTCTGGGTTCCTCTGATTAACCTTTCAACTTTTTGCATATCATCATTTAGTTGTATTAGACACTTGAACAGAGCATACAATTAATGAAAACAGGAATTTTGCCCTGTGTTTGTTTTCTGAGATACAGTCTCACTATGTTTCCCAGGCTGGCCTCCAATTCCTGGGCTCAACCAATCCTCTTGCCTCAGCCTCCTGAGTAGCTGGGGCAACAGGTGTGCACCCCTGCCCCCAGCTTCTCTTTGTAATTTTTTATGTCCAAGCCCTAGCACGGGGCATCCTCAGTAATGCTGGATTAATGAAATTAGGGATCTTCATGGAACATCATAAAACTCTTTGAAGTAAGCTTATGAATTATCACTGTCCTGGGTCCAAGTCAAAAAGCTATCCTGGACCCAAAATGGCATTTCTATTGTGGGGTATCATTGAGAGTAAACATCAGAGTTCAGTCCAAGAAATTGCTTACAGGGGAGAGTAGGTGCATCCATGGGTGGAGAGGGGAATAGCCTGATTTTGTTGTGGGTGCATTATAAGCCTCCATTCTCCCCCAACCTAGGGTGCTGACATTTAAAGCAATGGCTCATCTCTTCATCTTGGGCTGCACATGGTGTCTGGGTGTCCTGCAGGTGGGCTCCCTGGCCCCCGTCATGGCCTACCTCTTCACCATTGTCAACAGCCTGCAGGGTGTATTCATCTTCCTAGTGTACTGCCTCCTCAGCCAACAGGTACCCCTGCCCAGCTCCCACCCATGCCTCCCCACCCGCACCACTCTCTGTGAGCTGACCCAGAGCGTAAATTGCCTCTGCAGGTCCAGGAGCAGTACAGGAAATGGTTCAAGAGGATCTGGAAATGGACAACTGAATCTGAGTCCTACACTCTGTCTAGCAAGGCTGTGTCCGACACCTCCAGACCCAGTACGGTAGGGTCACTCCCTGATCCCAGAGCTCATGTTCCTGGTATTGGCAGGATTTCTCTCCTCCTGTCCACAGACCATGCTTCCCCTGTCTCCTGGACTCCACCATCATGCCTGCCTGTGTGCTGACCTTACATTATTCTCTCTCCCTCCCACCCACCCTTATCTGAATCTCCTAAAGACCCTGGTGTTGACCTTAACCTCACCTGGACAATCCAGGACAATTTTCTCATCTCAAGATGCTTAATATGCATGATCCCAGTGATATGTGAAATGCAAACATTGATCTCATAGAAAAAAAGAGTAGAACAGTGGTTCCCAGAGGCTGGGGAGGAGGGGGTGGGAAAAGCTTGATCAGCAGGTACTAAGTTACAGTCAGGAGAAAGAAGCTCTGTGGTAGGTCGCTCAGGAGGGTCACTAGAACACAAAGTGTGCTGTGCCTTTCCAACAGCTCTAAGGGGCTGGGGGCTGCTCAGTGGGAGGGCCCTTGCCTGGCATGTGCAAGGCCCCAGGTTCCATCCCAACACCACATCTTCTTAAAAGCCAGAAGAAAAGATTTTGAGATTTTACCACAAATAACGAATGCATGTTGGAGGAGATAGTTACGTTTAACCTGATGTAAACACTCACACTGTAGACAGGCAGGAAAACATCCCATTATACCATTAATATGTGCCATCTAAATAGATTTAATGTAAAATTAGATTTTTTAATCTTTAACATACTCCTTCTTGAGAAGTTCCTTTTCCAGACATGGTAACACTCACAGGCTATGGGATTAGGGTGTGGACATCTTTGGGGTCATTATTTTGTCTACCCCATCAATTACAATAGGTTCGGTTTCTCTTTCATGGAGCCGTCAAAATCTGCCTCATGTTGTAGATAATTGAATGGATTCACCACCCCCTCCCTCCACCACAGCCCTAGGAATGACATACACATTGAGGAAAAGAAACATCAACTTTTTGTCTAGAAAATAGGAAGCCATCAGATGGGGAAATTCAGGTGTTTCTACCATCTTGGGCACTGGACCGCTGTGTTAGTTCCCTGATGACATTTTATCTTCCAGTGTCTCCTTAAACTGGGCATCTCCAGGGTTTGAGTTGTTGGAGTATCTTCCTCTCATTTTGGAATCCCTTCATTGGCTCATTTTAAAAAAACAAAACATTTGTCTTGTAATCAGTTCTGAATAATTTTCTGAAGCACAGCATTCATAAGGCTCGAGTGAGGTTGCCCATCTAAATCAGTAGAAGTGTGCTGAGCTTCCACAGATGCAGGAATAAATAACTCCCTGGGGACGGGGAAGATATGGAAAGAGAGAATTCAACACTCCTTCCTTTAATAGTAGGTGATGGGCAATAGATAACAATGGCAGCCTTTCCTTAATGTTCTTCCTGCTCTCAGACAGAAGCCAACACACACCCTGAAGTGGGGAGATCAGATCCATCTTTTTTTTTGGCAGAGAGGTACCAGGGATTGAACTCAGGGGCACTCAACCACTGACCCACATCCCACCCCTACACTGTATTTTATTTAGAGACAGGGTCTCACTGAGTTGCTTAGTGCCTCACTGTTGCTGAGAATGACTTTGAGCTCATGATCCTCCTGCATCAGCCTCTCCAGCTCCTGGGATTACAGGCATGGACCACCATACCTGGTTCAGATCCATCTTTTGAAAGATACATTTTTGTGTGTGTTTTTGCAGCACATTTACCTGCTTTTATCTTCTGTAACTTAAGGGTTATGAAATGTAGGAAGATGAGACTTCTGAGAAAAACCAAAATCAACAAAATTAAATCCAATGTAGCCTGTTGGTCAAGTCCTAAGAAATCCATCAGGCAAAACAACTTTGTGATTGAAATATTCCTTTGAAATGTGTGTGTGTGTGTGAGACAGAGAGAGAGAGAGAGAGAGAGAATAAACCCCATAAACATATATGATTATTATTTGCTGACTAAACATTTCAAAAACTAGGGAGCAGGATGGTGGCTAAGATCTGCCAGTGGTCATACCCCAGGCACAACAGGTTTAACAGATGTAATTTTAAAATTCCCTGTGTATATTTGAGGTGTGCCACATGAATATAGGATATATACAGAAAATAAAATGGTTACTGTAATAAGGCAAATTAACTTACCCATCATCTCATATTCCTTTTTTTTAAACCAAGCAACTAAAATCTATTTATATAACAAATTCTTCTTTCCTTTTTTAAACAGAACTTGTAAGTTACTTTTCTACAAACTTATATGTCATTTTCAAATAATTACCATTCCAGACTGATTAGAAAGACCATCTGAGCTACAGCCTCCTTCCCCATGGACAATCTGAACCTCCACTGGGTCACTTTTTAGCCATTAGGACAGGACAAAGACTCTGTGCTGTGTGTTTCAAGAAATCCATCATGTTGGCCATGTGAAGGTATTCTTGGAGGACATGATCGACATTGAACTCCCACAGAACCTGAAATGTGTCCATGCCCAACATGTTGCTGAGCAAACTCAACATCCAGATGCCATCTGCCACCCAATTCCTCAGTTTCTCTGTTAAAAGTTCTTCTACTGCCCCCCTTCCTATGAGGCCTCTTCCATGCAAAAATTACAGAAGCAAGAAAACCAGCCTCCCAGGATGCTCACATCAACAACATTTAAAAGGATTTGAATGTGCTTTAAACTTTTTAACAAAAAAAAGAAGAAGAAGAAGAAGAAAACATAAAAGTTTTGTATGGAAATATTGTGGTGTCTGCAAGGAAAATGTCATGCCCTATGAGGGATTTGGACTTTTCAGGATGTGGAAGGCTCCCAAGAATGCCATATCCCACTTAAATCTTTCATAGTGGTGAAGTCATGGCCAAATTGCCAAGAAAATAGTTCCCCAGATAATGTCATGACAGATGTGTTAGTGAAATCAGGAGGAGGAGATAAGACTGAGCTGACAGGGAGATGGGCCTGGGTCACTTCCTGGGCAGTGAGTACAAATAGCACCTGCAGATATTTGCTAAGAAACTTACAAAAAGACTAATTTTAAGTCAGGACCCTATGTGACCCTGGTCCTTGCTTCTCCAAAGAAGAAAAAATGCCTGATGGACATTTTGACTAGACTGAAGGCTGCATGGACACTGCGTGCCATGCCCAGGAGTGGGCAGGGGGTTGACTTCCTTAAACCTCTATATCTATATAAACCCCTAGACAATTGCCACACTTCAGTGTCCCTCTCTGGGACCCCACCCCCTTTGGGAGTTCTGCTTTCTATTACTCTAATAAATCCTGTTACTTTGCTCTCACTCTTGTGTCCATAGAAGTTTATTCTTTAAATTTATGAGAGAAAGAACCCAACCCCATGCTCTGTGCTACATTAGTAATAATCTTGTTTTCATTCCAAAAGTAATTTAAATCAGAATTTTTGCCTTAAATAAAAGCCATTAAATATTTTCGTACTCCCAAATTTCTAAATAAAATGTAGATACATATTTTTCCATATATGGAATGTTTATCTCTGGGTCATGAGTTTTAGAAAGAAGTTCTCCTTTTGACATTTTTTAAGCCTTTAGGCAATGGGATAGATCACTTTTGCAATAGGAAATAACTAAAGTGTCTCAAGGAACATCATGCCTCTGTTCACAACAACATCACTAAGCAGTGGGTAAGAAAGAGGTTAGGATTTACACAGGCAGGTTAGGCATAAATACAATGATAGAGTTGTTTCTTTGGAACTCTAATTATACTGCTACAAAATCAGTGAAAAGGACATAAAACATGGAAATATTACATCTCCCACCAAACCCAAGTCTGTTTACTCCCCTGCTGGAAAAGGGCCCAGTGAATCAAGGGCAGTGTGGGGGGTGAGGAAAAATCATTTATTTGCTAACAAAACTGAGCTGATGGTGGGCTAGCAGCCTGAAAGACTGCCTTAACTCAGCAGATGCTTGAGCTCCTTTCAATCTTCAGGCAAGGGGGAAAGAAGGGGAGTTAGGATAGGAAATGACAGGTGACCAGACTTCTAGACATCTCTCCAATGGCCCCACGCTGGCCACCTGTTGATCATGGAGCTCCTGTAAATCCTGAAAATGTCTTAGTTATGCTTATCTTGGTATCATCAGCCTTGAAGGGGGAAGAGAGAGATTAGGGAGGTTTCAGATAAATCAGATTTGTGCTGCTAGTTTGGGGGAAACATTCCTCAAAAGATGGACTCACCTACATGCAGAGTGGAGCAGAAAAAGTCTCATCAGTGGTCGGGGCAGCAAAGGGGGTGGATACGATATGGAGGCAGAGACGCTGAGGCAGTTCACAGCTGCACAGGCCCAGGAGAAGCGCTGTTGACAGAAGAGCTCAAGCCCCTAAAAGGCAGCACCAGCCACTGTTACCACGCAACATGGATCACCCTCACTGACATGGTATTGAGGGGTGCCACGTGAATATGGGATACATACAGTGGAAAAAACAACTGAAGAGGGCTCTGTATGCTTCAATTTCCATGAACAGGAAGTGAAAACTTATGGTGGTTGAAGTCAGAGCAGTGGTGACCTCTGGGGACAGGGCTTACAGACTGGGGTGGTGTCCAAGGGAAATTTCTGCAGTGATGAAGTATTTACTTTTTGATGGGGTAGTAGCCAGTGTAGACACACACAAAAGTCATCAAGGTTCACACTAAGACTTATGAACTTTGGTGTAAATCATCCCTCAAATAACAGTATTATAAAACATAAAAGAACACAGTGAGAAGACACACAAATGGACACCATGCTGAGTCAGAGCACCATGAGAAAGTCACTCCCTGTCCCTTAACCAGTGGCCTCGAGTACTCCCCTCAACTTGCTGAGCCCCAGCTTCCACGTTTGATGGGGGTGAACACAGGACCCACCTCAAGGCATCACTGAGGAGACCAAGAGCTGCAGCCCTCCGGCAGAGGCTGCAGTCTATTAACAGGAAGCTCTAAGGGAGAGTGGCTATCGCAGGGTGTAGGGCTAAATGGCCACCCTTAGGGTAAAATGACCAGTTTATAAAAGTAATGTTTCACTGGAAATGCACAAAATGTGAAAATTTTTCTTTAATTCCATTGCTTCAAAATATACACATGCACTTAAAAACTGATGGAATTATTCAGTTCTACATCACCATCCATGGGGAGTATACCATACCTCTCTCAGGAAATGACTAATCAGAATCAATATTTATAAGTGTGTGTTTACACAAATAATATGCTTGATCCAGTGGGCTAATGTAGAACTTAATACATGGATTTCAACCACCATAAAGTGTTTATATAAACGGACATGATGAATACATCAGTTAGGGATTTGTGGTAAAATAAACAAACACACACCCATTCTCTCCTATTCTTTCCTCAAAAACAATGTGTTATGTTAGTAATAAATGCATTCTTTTCATGTAACAAGAAATAAACAGGCCAGGGCTGGTTCCACCTGCTGGATGTGAAAACATGAGACACATGCTAACAAGTATTCTGAGAACAACCCAACTGTCTACACTTCCACAAACCCACAGCTAACAGACGAGGGGCCACTGTAGCAATGAGACGCTGACAAAGGCAAGCCACCTTACTGATGTTCTCTCTGCCACTGTGGGTCCTTTTGTGCACGGCAAGTGAGAAGTTGTGCCTGAAGGATTTCTCACACTGATTTCATTGATAGGGTCTCCCTGAGGTGTGGGTTCTCACATGCACAATGAGGTGTGAAGACTGGCCGAAGGCTCACCCACACTCCTGGCACACATAGGGCTTCTTGCCGCTATGAGTCCTTGCATGTTTCCTGAGGGATGAGGGCTCACTAAAGGCTCGTCCACACTCCTGGCACACATAGGGCTTCTTGCCACTGTGAGTCCTCACGTATTTTCTGAGAGACGAGGGATGACCAAATGCTCATCCACACTCCTGGCACTGGCAGGGCTTCTCTTCAGTGTAAGTCCTCATGTGACTCTTGAGGGTGGACGGATGACTCTAGACCTGACCGCAGGTCGCACACTCATACAGCGACTCCCCCATGTGGATCCTCTTGTGCACATTCAGGTGTGTGCTGGTCCAAAAGGGCTTCCCACACTGAGTGCACTCGTAGGGTTTCTCTCTGGTGTGAGTCCGCAGGTGCGTCTTCAATAACGAATGTTCCCTGAAGGCTTTCCCACACTGGCTGCACGTGAAGGGCTTCTCTCCAGTGTGACTTATTATGTGGCTCCGGAGAGATGAGGGCTGGTTTAAGGCTTTCCCACAGTCCTTGCATGCATAGGGCTTCTCTCCTGTGTGGTTTCTCTGGTAGAATCAGGTTGAAGTTCCTGGTGAAGGTTTTCCTACACTGACTGCATTCAAAGGGCTTCTCTCCAGTGTGAGTTCTCAGGTGTCTCCTCAGATTCGAGGAATACTTGAAGGCCTGTCCACATTCTTGGCACTGGAAGAATTTCTCTGCGGTATGAGTCTTCTCATGCCTGAGAAGGCCAGAGCTGTAGTGGAAGGACTTTTCATACTGGTCACATGCATATGTCTTATCCATGCTGCGGATTTTTTCAGGTGTGATTAGGTGAGTGTTCTGAAAGAAGGACTTCCTGCTCTCTGGACATTCATGGGGGTCCTCTCCAGCAGAAATTGCCTGTAATATTGTTTCAATAGTACTAAAGAGTTTCCCTGGCTCATTATATTCATAGAGATCTTCTCCAGGCTGTGGTTGCTCCTGTCGGTTAAGGAAAATCTGAAGACAAAGCTTTATCTCACTCAGAGATTGTGTTCCCCATGGAAGATGAATTCAGCAGAAAGTCAGTCCTACATCTACTCAGAATTCCCTTGAGAGACACAGGGTGGACACTCTCCACCAGAGCTCTTTTCATTACTTTCCGGGGGCTTCTTAGATCAGACGTTTTCTGAATTGTTTAAGCAAAATTCAGTTTTGAACACCTAATACCTGCATGCAATCTGTGAAAATGATTACTGAAGGACACTCTGTGAAGATACAAGTGTTTCTTTCCAGTTCTGGGGATGGAACCCAGGGTCTCTCCACTGCTAAGTCCATGTGCTATCATTTTCACCCTGGCATCAAGACACAAGTCTTAATCTACATTTAAAGTTTTCTCCAACTTATGACATTCACTGACTTAAAAATAAAACTGTTTCCTCCTGGGAAAGCACCCTTTGCCACCAATCTCTCTCTCAGCTCTTAGGCAGCTTTTCTACCCTATGACAACCATAGACTTGTCCTACTATAGAGATCCAAGAGTAACCCCTTGTGAATCTTATCTGTTTTGTGTCAATGGAAAAATCCCCACAGAAATATCTTGGCTAGGAATTGATTCTTGGGGTTGAAGTGGAGGTTCTGAAATGAGTTAGGGAGTAAAAGAATTAAAGGCACAGAGAAAGAAACTCTGGGATCAAGATGACCAAAAATAACAAGGCTAGTGTGGATTTTTTCAATACTTATCCCAAACATAGGAAGACTGTTGAAAAGAGGAATAATGTATCAGAGAGCCAAGCAAAATTACTGACGGGCTTTCACTATGTGCAGAATTATGTAATCACAGAACAAGGGATAAGAATCATAGACAATTTGCTGA